GTCACATGCCAGATCATGTCATTGTGTTGTGTACCGTCCAGTGTCTGACCGCTGTGTGTGTGTGTGTTTCAGTGAGTGTTCATCAGCTCAGATCTGCACTCCTGCTCGTCACACACAGAAACACAACAGGTGCGTCAGCATCAGACATCTTCACCACGCAGCTCTCAGTCATGGAGTCCATACTTTTGCCCCAGTGTCTGTACTGTGTGTTTTGATCGTGAAACGGTAATGTGTTTTGGCCATTGAGAAGCTTAACGCAGGGCTTTATACAGTACAGACTGTGTCGAAGCAGCTCCACAGAGATCACCAGGAAGAGAGGTCACCGTGATAATCAGGGCTGACAGATCTGTGTGTCCCGCAGGATCGTTCTGTCCAGTGATGTGGAGTCTGAGGGTCCCGCCGCATCTCCTCCAGCCAGCAGATGCTCATCCAGACACAAACAGCAGCAGAAGAAGAGCCATCACAGGTGATTCACAATCAGATTCACATGAGCTCAAACTCATATCAACAGAAAGTCTTAATGAAGACGTTAGTCAGCGATGGAGAAGTTGATGTGATTATAGGTGTTTCTCATCGTTTCTGATGGACTGTGAAACACTGGACTGCGCTCTAAACGCTGACAGGACGGTCATACTCCTCTCAAAGTGCTGCACTGTGTTCATTTACACACGAGCAGCTCGTGATTCAGTTCACAGTTACTGCTGTCGCTCATGTGACAACACAACATGTGCCGAACCTCGTCCATTAGTAATGGTTTATGAATGTGTTGTCAACAGAAGAGACTCTCTGTGGTTTAATGAGTGAATCTGGTGATCATGTCTTGATTTCAGTGAGTCTGAGTGTGTGATGATGGAGGTGCGGTGTTCCTCAGCTCAAGTCTCCTCTCCCACTCGTCCCAGCAGCAGCTCTCAGGCCGTCAGACGCTCAGACAGAGACACAGAGAGGCAGAGCAGGTGCGTTTACGACTGTACGTCCTCATCACAGACACACGTGTGTGTGTTCAGAGTCACTGAGTGCCGTCTCCCGCAGGATCCTTCTGTCCAGTGATGTGGAGTCTGAGGATCACGCCGCGTCTCCTCCAGCCAGCAGACGCTCATCCAGACACAAACAGCAGCAGAAGAAGAGCGATCTCAGGTGAGGACTGGGACTCACACGAGCTCACACTCGTATCATCAGCATCTGATCAACCGTTAGGACCGCTTCTCATTCAGTTTTAATGAGGCTTATGACACTCGAAACTCGTCATTTACACACAGTACTAATAATGTAAATCTCCAGTGAAATGTTAACAGTTGGACAGAGGCACACATCACTACACATCATCTAGTCTTTTCATTATGGAGAGAGTTTTGCTGTAATGCTGCATTAACCTGTTAACCCGCACCTGGACGCCTCTTTGTTTGCACGTGTCAATGTTTACGAATAGATTAAATGAAACGGGACATAATTAATCTTGACAAACTATATATCATTCTAAAGGTCTAAGCCTCAAGCATCAATAATAGATTGCTGTTTTTCAATGGAAGGCTTATAAAGAATGTATTTGCTAAATCTGTGTAAGCGGTACACATCAAAACATGCATAATAAAAAAGCAGTACGTACCAGATTCATCGTAATAACGAGTCATAAACGCATCCACTGCTGTAAATCCCGGTTTAGTTAGAAAGGTAAGGGTCCACTGAACAACATCCCATAGAGCACTTTTAGTCCAACGAAACAATAACGTTGTAATATGGATGGTTATTCCTTTGTTTACGTCTCATTTCTTCGGGGACAGTTATTGTTTGTATCCGTTATGGAATAACTTGCGCTCAAAAAGCTGCATCTTGGTAGTAAAGAGCAACATGGTTTTGTAGCATACAGTGTCACAAACAGAATGAGACCATCCACTAAAAAAAAGTCAAAGATACGCAGAATATTGTTTATTTGAATTCTGGCGCTGTCTCGTAACGGCTCGTGACGCACGCTGTGACGCCTGTCATCTGTTAGGGGCGTAACTTAGCGATCGGCTTTTTGCACAAATAATTCTTTTTTTTCTTCCTATTCAACATTTTTAATATGTGTGTGTGTGTTTGTGGGGAATGTGGCTGTAGCTGCATGATTACCATCTGTATGAGCGCACATCAGCGTGTGATTACTGTGTGTGTATGACAGCTATCACTAGGCGCGTTTCCATTACCCTTCGAATTGCGCAAATTGAAATTGTGAATTGAAAATACGCCTAATGGAAACGCGTCAATTTTGCAAAAACGACCATATATCGCAAAAAAGTTTTTACGCTCGCATGAGGTGGTTTTTCAGGCAATGCGAAAAAGGAATAATTCGCAAAACTGCAATGGAAACGGCTTTTTCGCATTTACAGGTCACATGGCGTATGTAAAAAGTCATATGATCATTCTTCAATGTACTATAACCTCCAAGAAATACTTCATACGTGGCCGCGCTCCAGTATAAAGAGCTTACCCTACCATTAATGCTTAGACAATTTACTCTGCACACGTCTGCGGTGCAGAGTGGCTCTGATACGGCCACTGAAGCTGATTGGCCACAATGCTTGTTTATTCCAGAATCCAGCCGCGCCACACGTTTCTGAAGCGGCTCTCTGTGCTGCTTCTGTAAAGATACACGCATACGCCTCCTTTGAATAAATATAGCAGGGTGTCTGCGGGGTCTTAAAAAGTATTAAAAGTTGAGAAATCAATTTAGATAAAATTAAGGCCTTTAATAAGTATTAAAAAGTCTTAAATGCCATTTTCCAAGGTATTAAATTGAGTATCATCTTTTCATTATGTATAGTAGTTTATTTATGGAATCCCGCGAGATTTGACGTCATCTGTTATGGCTCTCACTGATTGACTGCGCTGCTGCGTGATAGCGCGGGGCTTGTTGATCTTGCTCTCGCTGAACTTCTGACCATTACCGCACGCTCCCATCCGCTCCCGCGATTTTTGTGTCTGCTCCCGCAAACATTCTAATATTGTATATAATTTTCGCGCATCAGGGAGCCGCTATCAATATGTGAGGTATTTAAATCCCTTTTGAATGAGCGCTCGCATTCGCAGTTCACTTTCGAATTCGCGATCGCGCGCGCACTGTGTAAAGGGAGCACATCTTACGATAAAAGATATTTGTCAATGAGCTCGGGATCTGTTGAGGAGCAAATCCTCCAACATCTTGTCAGTTATCTCTCCTAACTTTTGACCCGTGATCAGTCAAATCTGACTTCTGCAGCTCGTGTTGGATGCAGGGCTTTTGAATGAGCGCTCGCATTCGCAGTTCACTTTCGAATTCGCGATCGCGCGCGCACTGTGTAAAGGGAGCACATCTTACGATAAAAGATATTTGTCAGTGAGCTTGGGATCTGTTGAGCAGCAAATCCTCCAACATCTTGTCAATCATCTCTCCTCACTTTTGACCCGTGATCAGTCAAATCTGACTTCTGCAGCTCGTGTTGGATGCAGGGTTGTTGTTGTTTTTTTTCCACGAAATTGGGCTGCTTTTAAACTGTTGCCATGGGCTGATTTTCCCCCGTGGGTTAAAGGTTTGAAATATTGCATAAATTACATTTGGTTGAAATGCTTGTACTGAAACATTTTGCATTCTACCTGTAATAAAACTGTGCTAAATGTTTTGGGCCACACTAGTAGGAAGCATTTGAGCTGTGTTTATGATAAATGTGCATAACAGTGACTGTAAAATATGTATTTTTATATTTGGGACATAATTGCGCTACTTTGGGTGTTTGATGTGATTATAGGTGTTTCTCATCGTTTCTGATGGACTGTGAAACACTGGACTGCGCTCTAAACGCTGACAGGACGGTCATACTCCTCTCAAAGTGCTGCACTGTGTTCATTTACACACGAGCAGCTCGTGATTCAGTTCACAGTTACCGCTGTCGCTCATGTGACAACACAACATGTGCTGAACATCGTCCATTAGTAATGGTTTATGAATGTGTTGTCAACAGAAGAGACTCCCTGTGGTTTAATGAGTGAATCTGGTGATCATGTCTTGATTTCAGTGAGTCTGAGTGTGTGATGATGGAGGTGCGGTGTTCCTCAGCTCAGGTCTCCTCTCCCGCTCGTCCCAGCAGCAGCAGCAGCTCTCCGGCCGTCAGACGCTCAGACAGAGACACACAGAGGCAGAGCAGGTGCGTTTACGACTGTACGTCCTCATCACAGACACACGTGTGTGTGTTCAGAGTCACTGAGTGCCGTCTCCCGCAGGATCCTTCTGTCCGGTGATGTGGAGTCTGAGGATCACGCCGCGTCTCCTCCAGCCAGCAGACGCTCATCCAGACACAAACAGCAGCAGAAGAAGAGCGATCTCAGGTGAGGACTGGGACTGTTTTCCCCCACCCCTGCTTTATATGTAGCTATTTCCACTGCTGACTGCACTGTGTGTGTGTGTGTGTTTCAGTGTGGGTGAATCCGCTCCGGTCTCGACTCCTGCTCGTCCCAGCAGCCCTGCATCCGTCACACGCTCAGACAGAGACACACAGAACCAGAGCAGGTACGTCTGTCTTTGAATTCATGTTGATTTCTCTGTCAGTTTAATGGAAGATTTGGTTTCAAACGATTAAAGCTCAATCATGAACAACAGCATTGGTAAAAAAAAAAAAACTCACAGCCTTTTAAGATATGGATTGAATAATGGCAGTAAAATAGACACTTAAATGTGAGTTTTGGATGTTTTCTTTCCTTCAGTCTGAAAGGAGACATGTCGAGTGGTTTTGCCTGTGGAATGTTGAACTGAATAACTGACTGTGTGTTTCACAGTGAGATGGAGGTGGAGGATGGAGGTTCATCCGTCCAGCACTCGACTCCTGCTCGTCCTAGCGCTACAGACGCACCGAGGCAGAACAGGTGTGTTTGTGACTGTGCATCCTCCTCCTCAGGGCTCTGATGGGCCGTATGTGACGTGTGTCTTCTCCTCAGGAGTGTGACTGTGTCCAGCGAGTCTGAGGATCACAGTTTGTCTCCTGCAGCGCAGACGCCCCGCCGCCGCAGCTCTCCGTCCTCTGGAGGAGCTCACAGGAGGAGGAGGTCCGTGTGACAGGAGCGCGCGCGCTTGTGTGTGTGTGTGTGTGTGTGTGTGTGTGTGTGTGTGTCTCAGGGCCAGATGGCAGGACGTGTCCGGGACGCACGAGAACTGGAGCGACGAGGAGTCACTGTTCAGCGCCACTTCAGGTGCACACACTAGCCGTGCCATATTAGTATCCATAATTACCATTGCTATTGATGATAAGGCATTATTGTGTGGTGATATTTTGATGATAGTGTGTTTTGTGCTAGTTTTCTTCATATTCTGTGTAGTACTGTTTACACTGATACTTGCCAACTTAAACTAGGGCTGTGCAAACGATTGTCCTGTGCATCTCGTCAGTAAAGCCAGTTCTGTGATTAGTAGTAAATCTCCATCAACTGCTTTCAGACGGAGCAGCATTTACTACACAGAGCCGTAGATCACTGACAAGCTACACAATATCACGTTCATTATCGGCGAGGAATCGCTTGCGATTAACTGATTCCTACTTTAAACTGATTTACAGGCGAAATTGACCATTATAGGGACATTTTTCCTAACCTTATTAGAAGTATGCTGCTTCTTTTATGTTAAAGTCTTACATTTAATCAGTAACGTTAATTAGAATAAGAAACTGTAGACTGTTACTAATCAAATGAAATCAGGATCAACACAATCCATCTTTGCACTGCAGGCTGTGCATCTGAAGCAGCAATTAAATGTATTTACAGTGCAATTACTGTTTCATAAATAATGGGTCAAGGTGTCCTTGTTACAGTATAATTATACATTTAAGTACGGAGTAATATTAATTCACTACATGTACTTACTATATGGTTAGGGTTTGGCTTAGAGTTACTTGCATGTAATTATGCATAATTAATTGTTATGTAACAAGGACACCTTAAAATAAAGTGTTACCTAATAATGCTAGGAGATTATTTTAAAAACAGTATTTTGAATATTGACATTTGAAATGTTATTTTTAAGCATGAAACTAAAACTCGTAATGAGTGAGTCATTGAATTATTTACTCAACCGATTCTTTTAAACAGCTGATTCATTCAGGAATAAAGCAAGTGACTTTCATTCTGAATGGATTGTTGAATCATTGATTCGTTCAGCAATTAAATAACACTGCATGTTGCTCAGAGACGCGCAGCAGTTGTTTGGATCTATTTTCATCCGTGAAATATAGCAAAAATGACAGAAAACAAACAATGTTGTGCTTAAAATGTAGCTTAAACAATATGAACTTATTGAATGTGCAGTTGTGCTGATATATTGGGGGAAAATATGTGATATTGCTAAACTATATGTGACCCTGGACCACAAAACCAGTCACAAGTGTCAATTTTGTGAAATTGAGATTTATACATGTGATCATACGCTCATGTTTCTGCTTCACGTCTGTCTGTTTCAGATCGGTCCAGTAAGAAGTACAGCAGGAAGGTGTGTATTTGTCCATCAGCCGCTCCTGTGTCTGTGTGTGTGAAGTGTGCACTAACAGGTGTGTGCGTGTGTGTGTGTGTGTGTGTGTGTGTGAAATGTGCACTAACAGGTGTGTGTGTGTGTGTGTGTGTGTGAAGTGTGCACTAACAGGTGTGTGCGTGTGTGTGTGAGAGTGTGCACTAACAGGTGTGTGTGTGTGAAGTGTGCACTAACAGGTGTGTGCGTGTGTGTGTGAGAGTGTGCACTAACAGGTGTGTGTGTGTGAAGTGTGCACTAACAGGTGTGTGCGTGTGTGTGTGAGAGTGTGCACTAACAGGTGTGTGTGTGTGAAGTGTGCACTAACAGGTGTGTGCGTGTGTGTGTGAGAGTGTGCACTAACAGGTGTGTGTGTGTGAAGTGTGCACTAACAGGTGTGTGCGTGTGTGTGTGAGAGTGTGCACTAACAGGTGTGTGTGTGTGAAGTGTGCACTAACAGGTGTGTGCGTGTGTGTGTGAGAGTGTGCACTAACAGGTGTGTGTGTGTGAAGTGTGCACTAACAGGTGTGTGCGTGTGTGTGTGAGAGTGTGCACTAACAGGTGTGTGTGTGTGAAGTGTGCACTAACAGGTGTGTGCGTGTGTGTGTGAGAGTGTGCACTAACAGGTGTGTGTGTGTGAAGTGTGCACTAACAGGTGTGTGCGTGTGTGTGTGAGAGTGTGCACTAACAGGTGTGTGTGTGTGAAGTGTGCACTAACAGGTGTGTGCGTGTGTGTGTGAGAGTGTGCACTAACAGGTGTGTGTGTGTGAAGTGTGCACTAACAGGTGTGTGCGTGTGTGTGTGAGAGTGTGCACTAACAGGTGTGTGTGTGTGAAGTGTGCACTAACAGGTGTGTGCGTGTGTGTGTGAGAGTGTGCACTAACAGGTGTGTGTGTGTGAAGTGTGCACTAACAGGTGTGTGCGTGTGTGTGTGAGAGTGTGCACTAACAGGTGTGTGTGTGTGAAGTGTGCACTAACAGGTGTGTGCGTGTGTGTGTGAGAGTGTGCACTAACAGGTGTGTGTGTGTGAAGTGTGCACTAACAGGTGTGTGCGTGTGTGTGTGAGAGTGTGCACTAACAGGTGTGTGTGTGTGAAGTGTGCACTAACAGGTGTGTGCGTGTGTGTGTGAGAGTGTGCACTAACAGGTGTGTGTGTGTGAAGTGTGCACTAACAGGTGTGTGCGTGTGTGTGTGAGAGTGTGCACTAACAGGTGTGTGTGTGTGAAGTGTGCACTAACAGGTGTGTGCGTGTGTGTGTGAGAGTGTGCACTAACAGGTGTGTGTGTGTGAAGTGTGCACTAACAGGTGTGTGCGTGTGTGTGTGAGAGTGTGCACTAACAGGTGTGTGTGTGTGAAGTGTGCACTAACAGGTGTGTGCGTGTGTGTGTGAGAGTGTGCACTAACAGGTGTGTGTGTGTGAAGTGTGCACTAACAGGTGTGTGCGTGTGTGTGTGAGAGTGTGCACTAACAGGTGTGTGTGTGTGAAGTGTGCACTAACAGGTGTGTGCGTGTGTGTGTGAGAGTGTGCACTAACAGGTGTGTGTGTGTGAAGTGTGCACTAACAGGTGTGTGCGTGTGTGTGTGAGAGTGTGCACTAACAGGTGTGTGTGTGTGAAGTGTGCACTAACAGGTGTGTGCGTGTGTGTGTGAGAGTGTGCACTAACAGGTGTGTGTGTGTGAAGTGTGCACTAACAGGTGTGTGCGTGTGTGTGTGAGAGTGTGCACTAACAGGTGTGTGTGTGTGAAGTGTGCACTAACAGGTGTGTGCGTGTGTGTGTGAGAGTGTGCACTAACAGGTGTGTGTGTGTGAAGTGTGCACTAACAGGTGTGTGCGTGTGTGTGTGAGAGTGTGCACTAACAGGTGTGTGTGTGTGAAGTGTGCACTAACAGGTGTGTGCGTGTGTGTGTGAGAGTGTGCACTAACAGGTGTGTGTGTGTGAAGTGTGCACTAACAGGTGTGTGCGTGTGTGTGTGAGAGTGTGCACTAACAGGTGTGTGTGTGTGAAGTGTGCACTAACAGGTGTGTGCGTGTGTGTGTGAGAGTGTGCACTAACAGGTGTGTGTGTGTGAAGTGTGCACTAACAGGTGTGTGCGTGTGTGTGTGAGAGTGTGCACTAACAGGTGTGTGTGTGTGAAGTGTGCACTAACAGGTGTGTGCGTGTGTGTGTGAGAGTGTGCACTAACAGGTGTGTGTGTGTGAAGTGTGCACTAACAGGTGTGTGCGTGTGTGTGTGAGAGTGTGCACTAACAGGTGTGTGTGTGTGAAGTGTGCACTAACAGGTGTGTGCGTGTGTGTGTGAGAGTGTGCACTAACAGGTGTGTGTGTGTGAAGTGTGCACTAACAGGTGTGTGCGTGTGTGTGTGAGAGTGTGCACTAACAGGTGTGTGTGTGTGAAGTGTGCACTAACAGGTGTGTGCGTGTGTGTGTGAGAGTGTGCACTAACAGGTGTGTGTGTGTGAAGTGTGCACTAACAGGTGTGTGCGTGTGTGTGTGAGAGTGTGCACTAACAGGTGTGTGTGTGTGAAGTGTGCACTAACAGGTGTGTGCGTGTGTGTGTGAGAGTGTGCACTAACAGGTGTGTGTGTGTGAAGTGTGCACTAACAGGTGTGTGCGTGTGTGTGTGAGAGTGTGCACTAACAGGTGTGTGTGTGTGAAGTGTGCACTAACAGGTGTGTGCGTGTGTGTGTGAGAGTGTGCACTAACAGGTGTGTGTGTGTGAAGTGTGCACTAACAGGTGTGTGCGTGTGTGTGTGAGAGTGTGCACTAACAGGTGTGTGTGTGTGAAGTGTGCACTAACAGGTGTGTGCGTGTGTGTGTGAGAGTGTGCACTAACAGGTGTGTGTGTGTGAAGTGTGCACTAACAGGTGTGTGCGTGTGTGTGTGAGAGTGTGCACTAACAGGTGTGTGTGTGTGAAGTGTGCACTAACAGGTGTGTGCGTGTGTGTGTGAGAGTGTGCACTAACAGGTGTGTGTGTGTGAAGTGTGCACTAACAGGTGTGTGCGTGTGTGTGTGAGAGTGTGCACTAACAGGTGTGTGTGTGTGAAGTGTGCACTAACAGGTGTGTGAGTGAAGTGTGCACTTACAGGTGTGTGTGTGTGTGTGTGAGAGAGTGTGAAGTGTGCACTAACAGGTGTGTGCGTGTGTGTGTGTGAAGTGTGCACTAACAGGTGTGTGAGTGAAGTGTGCACTAACAGGTATGTGTGTGTAGTGTGCACTAACGTGTGTGTGTGTGTGTGTGTCAGATGTGGACAGTGCAGGAGTCGGAGTGGCTGAAGGAGGGAGTGCAGCGCTTCGGCGTGGGACACTGGGAGAAGATCCGCTCTGCCTTCCCCTTCACCGGACGCACCGCCGTCAACCTGAAGGACCGCTGGAGGACCATGCTCAAGCTCAGGCTGGTGTGACCCACACGTGTTTTATCATGTTTTATACTCATGTTCCTGTTTTAAAACCATGTGTTCAGCTTGTGTTCCTTATTAAACGTTTGTTCTGTTTGTGCAGCACTGCTGTCGTTATTCATTCAGTGCCGTCTTTAGATTTGAGCAGTGGTTCGTTCAGTGAAAATCAAATCAAGGAAGAAATCAAAATCTATGCATCTCTGTTTGTTTATTTATTATATACATAATACATTTGAAACGTTAAAAAATTAGGATGTTTAAAAAATGTTTTTGATGCTTAATATTCACCAAGGCTGCTTTTATTTGATCAGAAATTCTGTAAAATATTATTACAAAATATACATTTTGAAAGGAATGTGAATTGATTTTAGTTGTTTTGGTTGTTTAGTAATTAAAATGAAAAAAAAAAAAAGGTGAACTGAATAAAACAATATTGTGGAGGAGTGACAGTAAAACAAATTTTTCAAATGGAAGAAAAAATACAAAATCATTTTGTTTTTGATACACACATTCAAACCTTGACAGCCCATCTTCATTAAACATGAACAATGATCGATTTATTTTAATAAATGCAAAATCAAGTCAGCGCACGTAGCCCCAAAATAATACAATGAAAACAACAACTAAATACACTGATTGAAAACTGAACTAAATCAAATGTTCAATTGCCATGTTTCCATCCACAATTATGCACAAAATTGTAATATCGCGTAAAACATTTGCAAATAAGCACGGTTTCCGTCCAACGAGTCAAAGAGAACAAAATCGTCACTTTCTGATAAACTGGCACTAAATATCACTAAGACAACTAGGAGAAGCCACTGAATATAATAATCTTCATATATGACGAATTGCGCCTCAGAGCTAGCAGAGATTGAGTTTGTGAACGCAGTCGTGTAACAATTATACAGAAATACTTTGACAACAGACTTTGCTCAGGCCTTTCAGAACGACCAAAACAACAGTTCAGATGCTGTGCAACGAGATCGGTCCGCTGGTTAGTCCAGTTATGCCATCTGATGACTATTTTGATGAGCATGGTGGAATTTATTCGGTAAATGTTTCCATCGTAGTTTATGCACATTTTTTCTTATCGGATAAAAAAGTTGATCCTACTCAATTGCGCACATACGTTTTTAGAATTTATGCACATCTTCCAAAATATGCATAAAAATAGGTGGATGGAAGCATGGCTATTGTCAAGCGGATGGAGGAACACCATGAGGAAATCTGTGATCCATTCCTGGACTTTATGTGGCTCTGCTGTCAGCTGATGAACATCAGTCACTTCCTCTGGGTTTGACATGAACATTTATAGAGACGTTCATCCACACGTGTGCAAACAACGTCACTGCGCCGCAGAAACTGATGCTCTTCCTCAGTGCCAGCGTCTCATTTTCCAGCGCAAACATCCTCGAATCAACATACATTCACTGGAGATGCAAAAACACAGAAATCACATTTATAATATTCCAGCTCTTGCACACTACAGCAAAATACACTGATGTTCAATAAATAGTGATTTTTAATAGTTATTAATGCACTTATAGAAACTCTTCAGATGTATTGGGATTGTTTTCTTCAGTGTTGACGGCAGTGACTTCATTTATTCACAGGAAACATGCGAGCAGAAACACAGTGTAAGGGGCTGTTCACACAGAACACATGTAAGACGCGACGCCAGCAATGGTTTCGAAAAAAATCCTCAACCATGTTGCCGTCAAATAAAATGGTTGCCATGCCAACCTGCTCCTGTAAACAAACACTTGCTCCACCTCCAGGGTCTTCTGATTGGTCCGCAGTGTGTAAAAGTTTAAATTCTTTAAAAAAGGTGACGCTCTGACGTTTGAATCCCGGACCTTTC